TGGCCTCTAAAAAGAGAAACGAAATGTGCAGCATTTCAGTTTTAAACCTTGAAAGAATATCATCGTGTTGTTTTTAACTGAGTGGGATGGCTGGATGGTAAATATTTGGCTTGATTCGGTTTGTTCTCCACGACTGAGAACCAAGTACTTTTGCGTACACTGTAGCCCAACCTAAAACAGTATACATTCAATCATACGATCGTAGATTTTTCTTTTTATTTCTTGTCTTTTAGGTGACTTTCAGCACTTTTTCTGGGCCTTCTTGCGCTTTCCCGTGCGGCTTTCACAGAGGGATTTTTGTTCATCCCGTTCTCTCACTAAAAGGACGTGTGTAACTGTACGGGTTAATCATGACAGTTTTATCTATAAAAAAAAAAAAAAACATTTTTGAGAGTTTGATTCAAGGTCATTTATGCTCACGCCTATAGTCTAGATAAAAAAATTGGAGAAGATGCAGAGAGGTAAACAATCAGTGTACAGACGGGATCATTGTGTTATTATTTTGGACGCAGATAAATAATGCCAAATCATATTCATTGTTAATATTAGCAAGCCCATGCCCAGACGAACAACATCTTCCTTAATTCACACTTTTGTATGTTTTCACTTTTCTTACCTTGATTTTCCAGCTGTGAGACTCGTTGCTCCACGCATTCGATTTTCTGCGAAAGATCTTGTGTTATGGTTTCTTGCTCGAGCTGCATCCGATCAAGTCTTTTTTCATATTCCTCTAGTGTCAGTGAGACACGTTCTCTGTCCTCTTGCCCTTCAAACGACAGCTTTTCTACATTTTTTATCAGACCATGAACGTGGTGCTGCACCAACTTCAACAAATCAGGGTCCATGGTTGCATTGCTACAAAGAATTGTGCCTGAAATAAAAGTTAAATTAACGAGATTTTCATTTTCAATTTACAACTTGGCAAAGTTCTCGAACAATGATCATATTCCCTTTTTCATTTAGTGGATGAGGAGGGTGTAAGGAACCGCTGTGCATTGAGCATTAATATTTGACACTATTGTCAATCAATTCCTCCTCAATTTCCCAGAATAGAAAAGTGAGACAACTAAATTAAGCTATGAGAACTGTGGATAGAAAGGGGAAAGATTTAAGTCAAGAAGACAGCTCAATGTCATCTTACAGTATCCATACCCTTAATAANTTTCTGGTGTATAGAAAGGATCCAAACCTGATGTAATCATTTGCAATACTTAAATGCCATAATGCTCCAGCTTAACTAGCAAGAATGAAGGATCAACGGTATCAAAGCTTCACAAAGATCTTGGAAGACAACACATGAACAGTTGCACTTTCCACTTATCACTCAAGAAGTTAAGTCACTCAGCATGAGTAGTACAATGCTTGAATACAAACCGAAGCTGTTAATGCATAAGATACATATTTGCTGCTGTTAATTCATACTTTTCGGATACGTAAATTCTATCATAATTATCTCAGTAAATATGAAAACGCCAGAGATGGGTGAACTTCTCTCTTGCTTTTGTGTCCTTCTTTGAGGAATGTCTTTAAACTACTAGTTTGAAATGTAATGTTACAAATTAAAGTAACATTTCTTTATCTAAGAATATAAGAACCCAAACTGTGAATGATCAGTCTATATCTAAAAATCCTGATTTTTAGCTCTTGCGACGTATGTCTACCATCACTTTACAATTCTAAAGAAAAACGGGACTGGTTAGACAACGAAGTTATTCATGTGCTGATTAAACTTCTTTCAAGCGAGGCAAAACAAAATCCGGAGGCAAATCCGGATGACATCTCAGTTACACTGCAAGGTTTTTGCAGCGTAATTGTTTAATTCCCAAGAGCTAAGCTGTACATTGTACGCACATACACAACAGAAATACTGGCTGCTTGATTCGGTGAAAATCTTGTGGTTCAATCGCCCAATATACTCGCAGTTGTGTTTAATTTCTAGGACATCTTACATCGCTATTCACAACGCACAGTGAAGAACTTACCATTCCTCTTACCTAATCTGTTAACTGCTTGTTCCGTAACGTGATTTGAAAATATTCGATTGCATACCATCTAAATCACGACCTACTTCCGGGAAAGATTCACGTTTGCGCGAATGAGAAAATGATGACGTAACTTCATCGTTTATTAACCAATCAGAGAATTAAAGGTAAAGAAGGACCGGCATGGACTCGCTGGGTGGCTATTCTGACTACACTCAGGCGAGATGTTCAATATGAAAGTTTATTTAGAACGAGTCAGGTAGCCTTGTAGTATACGCATCCTACCACAGTCTGCAATGTACTGCAAGTATTCACTGAAACTTATAAGGGTTATACAAAAATAGTCTGTGCTACGCCAGATACGAAAAACCACTAAACAACCACTCTTTAGAAGTGGCCAAAAAATATGTGGAAGCGTATTCCTTTCTAATGCAGCAGCACTATACCCCGAGGAAAGGGTAACTAAAATAAACCTAGTTACACTACTATTCACACCAAAAATTCAATGAAAGCAGTGATATTTTACATACATATACATACATACATAAACTTTATTTCCATTCGGATTTATGAATAGCACTAGATGTGCTAGTATCTCCGAACAGGGCAAGGTGATCCGTATCCGAGCTATATAATTGCTGATCATCAGCGTATGCATTAAGCTTAACCTTTGTAATAAAATAGAAAATATCATTTAAGAATATGTCAAAAAGTAAGGGTCCTAGGACACTTACCTGTGGCTCACCTCTGTAATTATGCTCCCACGTGGAAAACTCATCGCCAATTTTTACCCTCTGTTGCCTATGCTGAAGGTAGTCTTTAAATAAAGCACAACCCTGTGTTTCTAAGCCGTACGCTTACAGAGAGTTGTAAAACAAAATTACATAAAATAAGAAAAAAGAAAGTGGTCAAACCTAAGACTGACCGACCTAGAATGACTTAATTTTCCCGCGAAATGCTTAAGTAATCCGAATCTACCGTGATGCTGCGTGAATCTCTTCAAGGTGCCGTCAGAATATTAATTTCTAACTAATTTGTTCTGATGTCACTCAAACGTCAGAAATTACATTTTGTGGAGACATCGCATTATCGCCTTCCGATATTGTATTTCTGCTCTCACAAGTGTGTCGCCAGGGATTTTCTCTTTGGGCAAGAGATGACAGGATGTTTTATGAAAATTGTCTTCAGCAAGGGCTGATTGTGTTTCTAAGCGGATTGGGAGTTTGTGAGAGCCAGAGTTTGTGAGCACTCAATTAGAATCTAAAAGCAAAGCTTTGTAATGGCAAAAAGCTATATCTTGATCTATCTATCAATCTATCTATCCATCTATTAATCTATCTATCTATCTTTGTATCTATCTCTCTATCTCTCCATTTATTTATCTCTCTGTCTATCTCCCTATCTATCTATCTATCTATCTATCTATCTATCTCTGTATCTATCTATCTATCTCTCTATCTATCTATCTATCTCTGTATCTGTCTCTCTATGTATCTATCTCCCTTTATTGTATAGATACTGATGAAATTTTAGTAAATGGATTTCTCCTTTTACTAAAAAATCATATGTTCACCGCGCGCAGTGAAGATATTATTTTTATCTTTCACGTGTGAGGATATTGGTGTGGCCATGGTTACCAACATAATTACCCAATTACTATTTCGAAAATGAATTAAAAAAGTTGTCTTTTATGTGGAGATTTCATCAGTATCTATATAATAAACAGAACATTAAACATAAAAACAGAAAACCTAATTGACATTTACAGGTCAATAATTGAGCCTTACTTTACATAT